TTTTTGTAGTTGTAGTAGAGACGGGGTTTCACCATGTTGACCAGGATGGTCTCGATCTCTTGACCTCGTGATCCACCCGCCTTGGCCTCCCAAAGTGCTGGGATCACAGGCTTGAGCCACCGCGCCCGGCCGACTTAACTGTATTTTTTATAATGAATCTGTAACTTCTGTAGTAAGAAAAATAATGGAAATCTTTAGAAAAATAAATCATTTTGGCTAAAACCTTCACTGTCTGCCTACTACATCACGGGTATTTCACCATGTTACTGAAGCTGAACTGATACCATGTGAGACAGATGCTGTTTCTTTCATTCTGCAGGTGAGAATAAACTGAGGAGCAGAACAGTTGAGTGACTTGCCAAAGTTGTATAACTAGTAAATGACAGAGCAAGGATTACGACCCAGGCCTAGTTCTAACTTCGAGTCAGGATCCTTTCCTATTTCATTACAACTCAAAGACTGCATTATTACTCATGATATAGTTTAAAAAAAATAATAACAACCTTGTGCAAGTAAGTCGCTTAACTTCTAGGGCTCTCAATTCCGTCATCTAAAAAGTGAAGGGGTTCAAGAAAAGATATTCCAACTCTAACAGCCTCTCCTGCTTCTGGATCTTAAATCTAGAACACATTCCATTTTGCAAAAACAGATTCCAATCAAAAGAAAACCCTGGGTTTTCTTTAAACGGGCCAGAATGAATGGTTGAAGGGAAGTTGAGGGCCCTATGCTCTGGGCCAAAGGCCATTCTTAATGGAAACAGGTGGTGGACTGTCAGGAGGAAAGAACCACTAGGGGAACCATAATCTTCCTGGTTAAAGCAACAGCTGAAAGCTCCAGCTTTGCTTTACCAATAGCGCTGCTTCAATCTTGGCTAACTTATGATCAGAAACCACATACTAGGTAAGTAAAGCTAGACGAAAGAAGAAAATCACCGTAGCAACAGTTTGTGCATGCTATTGTAACTCTGATTTTCTGAGTGCACTCATTAACGTTAAAATAGAAAGGTTGATTTCTAAATGGAGACGCCTTCATTCTCACCAAGGATGAATGGGGAAGCTGAAACTTCCATAGCACTTGGAGAAAAGCTACACTTGGGGGAAAGTGGAAAGCATCCAATTAAAGCCTTCCCAATTCACGGAGAATCAAAGATAGTGAAAAGACCTTTAAAAGGTGAAGTTCCGGCCGGGCGCCAGTACTTTGGAAGGTCGAGGCGGGCGGATCACCTGAGGTCGGGAGTTTGAAACCAGCCTGACCAACATGGAGAAACCCCCGTTTCTACCAAAAATACAAAAATGTGCCTGTAATCCCAGCTACTCAGGAGGCTGAGGCAGGAGAATCATTTGAACCCAGGAGGCGGAGGCTGCGGTGACCCGAGATCGCGCCATTGCACTCCAGCCTGGGCAACAAGAGCGAAACTCCGTCTCAAAAAAAAAAAAAAAAAAAAAAAGGTGAAGTTCCTGTAAAAGATTCATTGGGTATTTGTAATCTCTTACAATGTACACATTATAAAGCCATTGCTCTTTAAAACTGTTATACAGCCTTTTTGCTCGAAGGTAATAAACCTACAGCATTAACTCTCCTGGCGAGAAAGATTCTATTTTGTGGAAACAGATTCCGACCAAAATCTCACCACATTCCCCTCAACTATGGGTATGAGCCTAAACCAATGAAAAGCTCCTTGGAGCATGTGCAATGGTCTCGGAGAATTAAAACAACATCCTGCCCGAAGGACCACAGCCAAGACACCACTGGCTTTAAATTCAAAGCCTACACCACCGGCTTTAAATTCAAAGCCTGGTCCCTAGCGAAGAAAGCGCTTTAATGTGCTCCCCGCGCTTCCCGGTGCGAGATTCCTGCCCAGCAACCAGGCCACGACTGGGTGAGCACCTGATGCGGGGGGAGGGCGAACCAAGGCCTTGGCGGATCTGGAGCGAGGAACGAGGGGCTCTCGAAGCTCCGGAAAAGCACTGCCTTCTAGGGGTGGGGACCCTTCGGCATCCCCAGGGGTGGACACCAAGAACACGTGAGGCGACAGGGGCAGAGATAGGGTGTCCCGGGCAGGCAGCCTGGGTCCAGCAAGGCAGCCAAAAAGAAGAGGGAAAAGACGGTGGCCCTGGGCAGGGCACAGGCCTCTGAGCTCAGAGGGTGAAGGTAAAGGGCGCGGGGAAGGAAGCCAGGCCACGAGGAGGGCGGGTCTCCCTGGGCGCTGAGGCACGCGCCAGGCAAGCGCCACAGGACCCGGGGACCCCGAGACCCCGACATGCAGGAGAAGATCGCAGCTCTGCCCCGGGGCGCAGGGAACAAGGAGCGGCCGCGCCCGGCGAGACCTGTGACCCGCGGCCTCCTGAACCGGACCCGCCCCGCGGCGCCTCCCTCTTGCCTTCTTTCCCTCCCTCCCTCCTTCCCGTGGCCCGTTATCCTGTGGCCACAGCACTCACCAGCGGCTGCACCTGAGCCCGCCGCTGTCTCAGCTACTGCCTGAGCCTCCGCAGCCGCCGCCGCCGCCTCGCTGCTGAGGCCGAGTCCCGGGGGAGCCTCCGCGTCCCGCCGCCGCTGCCGCTGCCGCTGCCGCCAGAGCAGAACACCCCAAAATGGCGGCACTTCCGGCACCTACCACCGGCGGGGAGGGCCGAGGAGGAGGGGGAGCTCGGCGAGGGGGAACGTATCACCGCGGCGCCGCCCGCAGCGTAGATGCGAGCGGAGCTCGGCGTAGGGGCGGGCCGAGCGCCGGACGCTGCAGCGCCCCCTCGGGCTGGGGAGTGGAGGAGCAGCCGCGCCTAAGCCCCTGGGGCCGCGGGCGGAGCCCTCTGCCGTGGGAGCTGCAGGGGCGCATCTCTTTGTCTTCGAGCCTTACTGGAGGGCCGGGCCTGGGAATCTGGAGTTCTCGACTCCGCCCACCGCACTCACAGGAGCTCTAGATGACCCTGGTCGGCAAGGAGGCACCCCTACTGGGCACTGAATATGAGCATAATAAGATATTTGTTGAATAAATGGATGAGTGAAGGAGTGAATGGTGCTTGGCCAGCGCTGGACACATGGCACGCCCCTTTTTGCCCAGCAGGCAAGCAACAGCATCCAGGCCTTCCTTCTTGGCTGGGATGTGGATATGTGTGCTGCAAGTTCAGGGAGTGCCTTTTAGCAAGATAATCAGTGTGAAGGCACAACCTGGCAACGATCATTGCGACACCAGGAAGTTCACAAGGATTTTATTAAGAGAATGATTGCTCAGCCATAACCTGCTTTTCCCAGAAAAAAATAAATATATTTTTTTAACAACTCACTTGTTCGGAGTTACTCAGGAATCCCTGGGTCTAGATGGAACGCAAATAGTACATTTTGTTATTGTTTAAGCAAACATTTATTCTGTAGGTTCCAGACCTTGTGAGGCAGTTAAATGCAGATTAAGAGAAAAACTTTGTTCTGGAAGCTTCTGGCCCCATCGACATGCAAATAATTCATGGGATGGTTTCTCTGTAACATCACCTGGCTTCCCAGAGAATATAATTTTTATACCCACAAATACTGATTATACCCTACCTTACCACAAACAACAAACGGGCTTCCAAGCGGAAGCCTCAAGAGTTTTCCTCTTCGCCTTTGGGGGGTGGGGGGAACTAACCACAGTTTTTCTGGTAGGATATAGCCCTTAAATTGTACATGATCATATTCCCTAATTGTACTGGGTAGTTTTATATACATTCATAATGCTGATATATGATCTTGTTAATATTTTACAAGACTGAAAACATGGCCGGGCGCGGTGGCTCAAGCCTGTAATCCCAGCACTTTGGGAGGCCGAGGCGGGTGGATCACGAGGTCAAGAGATCGAGACCATCCTGGTCAACATGGTGAAACCCCGTCTCTACTAA